TATTTCCTTTTCCTATTTTTTTCTCCATCACATTCTAATAACAGACCAAAAGGGAATATTAGTAAATAAAATACCTGAATCTYATCTAATTGACTTTCCATTCTGAAACCCTTGAGATTGTGGTTTACCTTTGGTTTTTTKATTTGATACATGAGATCTCACAGTAAGCAAAGCAACATTCCCACAAAAACCATCTCTCTGAAATTTGAAATCACCAATGACCTGATTTAATTAAATCACACCCTTTCTAGATCTTTTCATTTCTGTTCCTGCTGACTACAGAAACAGCTAGTGTCTTTTCTTGGGAGCTGAAAGGCTGAAGTTGATGAACTAAGTTTTTCCCAGGCTGCAATTCAGGTTTGTATTTCTGTAGGCCAGAGATGTTTCCCAACCCTTAAAGCCAGATTGACCCCACATTATCCATTTTGACCTTTGGATGCCTTATCTGTCACCTTTGGTTTCTGACAGCAGTTGGAAAGGCAGAAGGCAGAGGTCCACTCTCCAATGAACAAAGGCTTGCTAAGTAAAAGAGATGATCTGTGGGCACAGATAAGGTCTGAAGAGAAGGTGGTAAACTCATCCTCTGTTTCAGCAGCATGTGCAGGACTGCTGCCACTATAAAAAGTGAAATGTCATCTAAAGTACTTTCTCTGCTTGTGATTTAAACACATATCTTCATTAAGAAAGCTGGCTGGGGGCTGGGGATATAGCTCAGTTGGTAGAATACTTGCCTTGTATGCACAAGGCCCTGGGTTCAATCCTAAGCATCACACACACACACACACACCAAAAAAAGAAAAGAGAAAGGCAGGCAATCAACCATAGTGAAGCCAGTATACTACTATGGCCTCCTTTCTCCATCCTGCCTTGCTATTTCTGTTGTTTTCTTTTTTCCCCCCCTTTCCGGTAAGTATGCTACAGACCTCTAGGGATACTGACTAGATCAGCTGGTGATTCAAATTAAGAGACTTAAAAACATACACTCTTTTCTTTTATTCTATAACTCTCATAGCACCAAAGATGGAAATTTTAGAATTTAAATGGCATATTCCCTAAAAAGTTCATCTCAATTTTTGTAAAACATGTTCATTTTAAATAGGATAAGACAATTCTAACTTTATTAATCTCTACAAACTAATATATTTGATCATATTTTATTTTTTTGTGGCACTAGGGATTGAATCAAGGGGTGCTTTATCACTGAGTCACACCCCCAGTCCTTTTTTGTTTTTTATTTTCAGACAGGGTCTCACTAAGTTGCTTAGAGCTCTGCTAAATTGCTGAGGCAGGCCTTGCAATCCTTCTGCCTCTGCCTCAGGAGTTGCTGGGATTGTAGGCACGTACCACCCAGCCCAGCTTTGATCAATCTTTTAAAATTTCATTAGCCACAGAGCACTATGGAAAATCTCAATAATGCTTAATATGTCCTAAGAAGAAAATAAAGAAATGTTTAAGGTCTGAGTTAATTTGCTGTAGGACCTTAACTAAAGTAGGTTTGTTTGCTTATCTTTTGGCTCTAGAGTTCTCTAAGCCTAAAATGGTGATGATTTTAGAATAAAATGAAAATGTGAGCAGCAAGCCTAAATGCATAAACAGTACATATATACTCAAAGCACCTTGGGATAATTAGCTTCTTCATCTTAACTATCTATTATTTCATACTATTATTTCATCTTTCCTTTAGTTCTAGTCAAACAGATTATAAATCAAGCATTTTTCACCAGTGCTTAATATTAAACAGGGTCTCAAATAGCAATGACAATAATGACAGTGAGGATCAACTGAAGATAAATTGTATTTACCTTGATTTTATTTTTTATAATTTCAGTAACATTATACAAATTAATTACTAAAATTGCTGGTGGCAGTACAGTATACAACTAATAAGCAAGCTAATAATCTGTATCAAAAGCCCTAAAAATATATAAATCTTTTGGTCTAGTAATCCCAGTATTGAGCTTCAAGATACATATATTTTTTTAAGGGACACATGTAATGAGTTAGGCACAACAACATTCACTGAGTCTTTGTTTATAACTGCAAAAAACTGGACACAATCAAAATGTTCAGTAGGACAGAATGTGAAATAGTTCAATGGAAAACAAATGACCATGGGCTGGGGCTCCATGGTAGAGCGCTTGCCTTGCTTTGATTCTCAATACCACATATAAATAAATAAA